ACAGGCACATATTTCATGAAACAAAACAGGGTCTTTGACGGGGACAATGACTACATCATGAACGGCTGGACAACCTCTTGCGATCTGCTCTAACCAGTGAGGATAGAGAATCTCATCGCCATGCATGATTGCATCAGAGCCGCGTCCATCAACGAACAACATCCCTGCGGAATCAAAGAACCCAACATCGTCAGTCTGAAACCATCTGTCGTCTGTAAATGCTGCTTGGTTGAACCGTCCTTCATCTGACCATTTACCAACTATATTGGTTTCCTCTCTTCCATTATGAACGGTTAATTGAACATCCTTCTTCGTCTTGATGGCGCGTAACTTAGGGGAATCACCAAGGTATCCCTCAAACACACCATCCCCCTTTACCAAAATGCTCCCCTTAACGCCAACCCTCACATCGCGTCCTATGTCATCTACAACGCGCACGTGGTACGATGGCATTGGATGTCCCACACAGTGGTCCTGGAACTGACCTTGGCCATCCGCAGACAAATGACATATGCACATCGTCTCGGACATTCCGTACCGACAGACGATCTTCTTCGTTAGCGATCCTATAATTCTCATGCTGTTTTTAACTATAGGCTGTCCCCCTGTCAAAACTACTTCTAGCATATCTGGTTCATCTAGTGTTACCCCTGACTGGCTGACGTCTTCTATTTCATTTGGTACAAGGTAAGCGGATCGGCAGCCTTCTGCACGGATAACATCCAAAATGGGTGGAAGGTTATTTTCTCGAGCGTCAAGCGCTATTCGTGTTATTCCCGAGCAGGGATAGACACTAGGAAATCCAGGAAACCAACCAAAAAATCTGTCGTTATAGAAAGGCGATCCGTTGTCTCCAATAAGAAAACACATTTGTTCCCCGAAACGTATGACTGCCGAATGGGTGAGAGGTACCTGTTTGCACACACCCGAAGTGCCAGAGGTCTCAACGATCACAGCATAATCAGTTGGCCGCACGTCTGCTATAAACATCTCCGTTTCCATTTCAAGCTGAGTTTGAACGGAATGAATAAACACAACTCTTTTGAGATAAGGGAGTTCTGAGCATTCGACGGCCAATCCATACTCCGTTTCCTACGACGACGAAAACAGTTTCATTACGACCTCGAGTACTCCACTAACATTAGGATCCGTTATGATGGTTGTCGTCTGCGCAACCTGTAGCGCCCCAAATGTATCGTCTGCGTTGTTCAAATAACCAAAAGCAGTCTGAGAGACACCGCCTGCCATCAATACTCCGAAATCACAGATCAGCCTGTCGGGGCTATTCGGCAACATGTTGGCAACAGTATCTCCTCTAGAGACACCAAGTCGGCGCAACTTCGCTGCCATTTTACCAGGCTGCATAAACACATGTTTTCGACTGAGAACAGTTCTCGTATTTTCTCCAACAAAAATGTATGCCGGTCTTTCTGGGTCAATAGATGACAAGCGTTTCAGCAGGGTCGGAATAGTGGCCTCAGAATGAATAATCAGCTGGTTGTCGCACATGCTGCTGTAACAAAAACACAAACCGCTGATTAAATCGTTGCATATGTTCCCGATAACAATCCATGGACGGAAACGTACACTTATATATAACACCGCCGCCTACCACATCACTAAGTGAACACAGCTGCACGCCTGATAGGTTATTGTTAAAACATATCACAACTGTGACCTAGTTATATTATGACCAAAAGCAGAGTGTAGATGAGATGCACTGATTCGCTATCAGTCAACGAGCGATAGGAGCAACTTACAACACAGTTTTCTGTCGCAGTGTTATGAAACTACTGTTGCATTCAGACGTCTGGTCTCAGTGACGGCGTGGTATCCATCTGAGTCTGTCACGCTCGAAATCAGCCATCCATGCATGTGCACCCTCCCGTTATACCGTGGTGCACAGCAGAGGGGTGATCAATACGGTCTCGTGCTAGCGGTATAGGGACGAATGGAGTTCCGACGCTTGCTCTCACACAGGGAAAGGTTCAGACATTCCTACCATATCATGACATCAGGATATCGATCTCTGTTTGTAATAATCGTTTTGTAGTTAGTGGATGCGTCCATATAGAATATATACTGAGTAGAATGCGCGATAAAATTACTGAACATCTGACTCTTACATAATTGGGAAACATTTGCTTGTTGAGTAAATGGAATTGTTTTTTGTTGTTTAACGCCACACTCAGCAATATTCCAGCTATATGGCGCCGATCTGTAAAATAAAAATAGAAGCTACATATCAATTTATGTTTGTTTGTTTGTTTGTTTATTGTTTAACGCCGCACTCGACAATATTCCACTTCGCTTGGGTTCGCTTGTAGCGTGCTCATTAATTAACCTTGCACTTTGATTGACCATGTCAGTCCGGTTTTGTAGGTAGAGGTATTACATAACATAGGGCATGGTCAGTGACCCGCGTACATGTAGATACGTGAGATCCGGCGACGTGAGGACGTGTTAATGGACATTTATAGCGTTGGGGATTACAGGTCCTGCCCGGAAGGGGCTTTCGATTAGAGGGGATACGCCGAATGTTTGCTGTATACAAAGGGGAAAGAATATCAGTGCACGATATTGGAACAATTAGGTGTTTTAGATAAATGAAGTTTAAAATGAAAGTATTGAAATGTTTTTCTCTATAACATAATAACAACTTATGACGGCCTAAACGCAGCATCGTAAGTCAATAAACAGTGAGGTTTATGCTTAATAGATTAACAACACGGTGAAGTAGAAACAAGTACTAGTCACTCATACAGATCCCAGAACATATATTTAGTAAAACAATCACCCCCTTTCCGTTCTTTTCCATTCTAAGCTTTAGCAGTCTAGTCTCATCCCGTTCTCAGGCCTGGGGAATTTATAGAGTTCTATAGTCTGGAAGGTAATTTAAGGTACGGACGTTTACTACAATATCTGAAAAACTATTGGACCTACTCCAGTCAAAGTTGGTATGAGATTATTAAACAGTCATACATAACTGGATATTACATTTAAAGAGAATCGGTGCATGAATAACAAATCTGTCTATTTAATCTGTCAAAATTGACATAATAGAGTATTTACAATGGTATCCTCAATAATACACGGTTAACAGCCATGATGATTAGGACAAATAGAGTAATTTTGAATGAGAAATGCAAATTACGCAATCAATTTAATAGAAACGCAATCACATGAAAACAACTTTAGTAAATCATCCATGCATAGTCACTGATAGCATCTATACAATGTACAGCTGTTTATACGGCTATGTTTAAAAAGATGAACGTCAAACTATTAATAGTTTATAATTGTACATTACCTACTTATACAAAACTATTCATTTTCTTGAAATTAGTTTTATTTTAAGACTATCGTGTGCTTCCTTTAGTCCACCATGGGTTGCAGCAGACATCCAGCATTGGTTCTGCTGGACACGATGATGTGTTGGACAAAACTTGGTATGTTTGGTAGATTGTGTGTTTCTTGTTCATTTGCTTTGAAAAAGTACTGCATTTATATGTCAAGGTTAGAATATCGGGGTTAGAATAGGTCTTCAGCAACCCATGCTTGTCTTAAGAGGCGACTAACGGGATCGGGTGGTCAGGCTCGCTGACTTGGTTGATGCATGTCATCGTGTCCCAATTACGTGGATCGATGCTCATGGTGTCAATGACTGGATTGTCTAGTCCAGAATTGATTATTTACAGACCGTCGTCATACAGCTGGAATATTGCTAAGTGCGGTGTTAAGCAACAAACAAACAAACATGGATTGTCAAGTTATATTTTGTTGAACAAACATGGAGGAAATTTATGTAACTGCATATTTAGAGAAAGATGTTTTACTGTTGGTAAAGTCTAGCCGGATGCAGTGGCGTAATGCGTTTGTTTCTAGCCGGATGTAGTTGTGTAACGCATTTGACCTTTCTATTTTATAAATCAGTTGCGTGTTTCTCTTCCAAAACTTAAGACCGCCTCCATGGTCTAGTGGTAGAACGTCCGCCCGGAGAGCGGAAGGTCCGGGGAGCGATCTCTGGCCGCGTCATACCTTAAGACGTTGAAAGATGGTACTTGTTGTCACCCTGTCTGGCGCTCGGCATTAAGGGACTAAAACAAAGACTGGTCGGCTCGGAGACAATGTACTGTGTCTGAGTGGGGTATTCATGTTAAACTGCAGCATGGTATCTCAGTGGGCTAGCAATATAAAACCGGCATTGGTCCGGACTAGTAAAATCAGCCACATTGCATGCACGTCGCTATATAAGTGCAATAATCTTCGACGCGACGTTAAACCCCAATTCGCCTCACCTGTTTCCTTAATCTGTAACGTACATTTCCCCTTATGTTCCGTCAGACGCGATGCCCCTACACTTCGATTGCTAATCCTGAGATAACAATAGCACTTAATTTGATATCCAGTTATATACACGCAAAATATGCATAATGCTTCTAAACCAACCAAGTAAAATATGTGGTTTATCAAGTTTATTTTTGTGAAATATTGGCTCTTCTTTTTTAACTTGATTGTACTTAAAAAATGGAAACTATTAAGGGTTTACTCTTTTTCCTTCGCAGTTAAGCTAAGCCACCCCTCCTAACACTTGTCGGGGGCGCGGGTTGCCCAGTCGTCTAAGGCGCCGCGATTCGCTGTGCAGAGTTGCGTCCCTTGGGCACGCCAGAAACATATGATTGTGGGTTCGAATTCCGGTCCGTCCCGATTATGTTTCTAGGTTTGTCAGCACCATACCCGTGATCGTGGGTTTCACTATAGTGGTAAACCTCTGCGACCTGCATCACTTTCCTCCGCAATTAAGCTGACACGCCGTGATATAACTAGAACACTGTTCAGAGCGGCGTTAAACCCAACTCACTCACCCAGGGAATGTGCATAGTTAGACATTTGGTCATTTGGTCTGCAAACTTAACAGACTGCAGGATTTATTTCTGCTCAGTTAAATAAATAACGACTTTAGAGCTTGGAATCTTTTATTATGTTGTCCAAATCCGGCCTATGACACTATTTGGGTTACACAAATGTTACATACATTACATGTGAATTGAAGATATGTTTTCTTGTCAAATAACATGTTTATTTCATTGAGTGGCCTGACAAAGTTGATATTTCCGTGACTGATCTTACAGTGAAACCATAGTGTTATTCAAGCAGACTGCTCTGGCATAGAGTATCATATCACTCAAGTTAGATATCGACTTTATTTTCTTCAGATAAATACAGTATTTATTTACTAAATTCATAATTAATATATATATTTCCTGGAAGATGAAAATGGATGTATTAGAGTTATTATAGACTAACTTTTATATCTGCAAAATGGAAAAATTCAAATTCACCTGGAGCCCAGAACAGTGCTCAAGTTCAAGCCCAGAGTTGGGGTAGTCTAGACTTGCGAAATCATTCTAGACTTGAGTTGGACTCCTGTTTTAAATCTATTCTTTAGGGCCTGGGAGGCGGACTGGAGTTGCCAATCTGTATTGCTTCATAGAATCATAATAACGATTGAGCGGTAGAAGGTCTAAATCTCACCACGTAATAATTAATTGATTGATAATATATTCTTGGAACAAAGTGATACTGTCGGTAAAATAATACTGATGCGTTTCTGAAAAACAACGGGTTCGTCCTCAGAAGTCCTTTCTGCCGAGAACCATCTGGTATTTTCTCAAACTGAGATGTACGCCCGTCGTTCTAGCACACGGGACAAGTATTTCTGTCGAGTTGGCATAGTGAAATAAGAGGTGTGGATCATCTGGTCGTCACACGTGTTTCTGTGAGTGAGTGTTGTTTTATGCCACTCTTGGCAATATTCCCGCCATGTCGGGGGACATCAAACATGGGCATCGGAAATGGGCTTCACACACTGTACCCATGTTGGAATCGAACCAGGCCTTCGGCATGATGAGCCGACGCTTTAACCACAAGGCTACCACCTATATTACACAAACAGAACGCACATTTATCCTTGAAGATAATATCAATCATAACTGAAGCAAGACCTCTGCCTGACGAGAAAGCTTCCTCCGGTTCAGTTTTCCATTCTTATTGACGGGGAATGTGTCAAATAGTAGATAATACTTAGGCTCCACGCTGCATTCTTCGTGAGGAACGGCAGCGAATTGAAGAGACATAAAGGTTTGAATTTCCGACATCGGATCCTGAAAACCTTCACTTGGCTTGATACAGGCACATATTTCATGAAACAAAACAGGGTCTTTGACGGGGACAATGACTACATCATGAACGGCGGGACAACCTCTTGCGATCTCCTCTAACCAGTGAGGATAGAGAATCTCATCGCCATGCATGATTGCATCAGAGCCGCGTCCATCAACGAACAACATCCCTGCGGAATCAAAGAACCCAACATCGTCAGTCTGAAACCATCCGTCGTCTGTAAATGCTGCTTGGTTGAACCGTCCTTCATCTGACCATTTACCAACTGTATTGGTTTCCTCTCTTCCATTATGAACGGTTAATTGAACATCCTTCTTCGTCTTGATGGCGCGTAACTTAGGGGAATCACCAAGGTATCCCTCAAACACACCATCCCCCTTTACCAAAATGCTCCCCTTAACGCCAACCCTCACATCGCGTCCTATGTCATCTACAACGCGCACGTGGTACGATGGCATTGGATGTCCCACACAGTGGTCCTGGAACTGATCTTGCTCATCCACAGACAAATGACATATGCACATCGTCTCGGACATTCCGTACCGACAGACGATCTTCTTCGTTAGCGATCCTATAATCCTCATGCTGTTTTTAACTATAGGTTGTCCCCCTGTCAAAACTACTTCTAGCATATCTGGTTCGTCTAGTGTTACGCCTGACTGGCTGACGTCTTCTATTTCGTTTGATACAAGGTAAGCGGATCGACAGCCTTCTGCACGGATAACATCCAAAATGGGTGGAAGGTTATTTTCTCGAGCGTCAAGCGCTATTCGTGTTGTTCCCGAGCAGGGATAGACACTCGGAAATCCAGGAAACCAACCAAAAAATCTGTCGTTATAGAAAGGCGATCCGTTGTCTCCGATAAGAAAACTCATTTGTTCCCCGAAACGTATGACCGCGGAATGGGTGAGAGGTACCTGTTTGCACACACCCGAAGTGCCAGAGGTCTCAACGATCACAGCATAATCAGTTGGCCGCACGTCTGCTATAAACATCTCCGTTTCCATTTCAAGCTGAGTTTGAACGGAATGAATAAACACAACTCTTTTGAGATAAGGGAGTTCCGAGCATTCGACGGCCAATCCATACTCCGTTTCCTTCGACGACGAAAACAGTTTCATTACGACCTCGAGTACTCCACTAACATTAGGATCCGTTATGATGGTTGTCGTCTGCGCAACCTGTAGCGCACCAAATGTGTCGTCTGCGTTGTTCAAATAACCAAAAGCAGTCTGGGAGACACCGCCTGCCATCAATATTCCGAAATCACAGATCAGCCTGTCGGGGCTATTCGGCAACATGTTGGCAACAGTATCTCCTCTAGAGACACCAAGTCGGCGCAACTTCGCTGCCATTTTACCAGGCTGCATAAAAACATGTTTTCGACTGAGAACAGTTCTCGTATTTTCTCCAACAAAAATGTATGCCGGTCTTTCTGGGTCAATAGATGACAAGCGTTTCAGCAGGGTCGGAATAGTGGCCTCAGAATGAATAATCAGCTGGTTGTCGCCCATGTTGCTGTAACAAAAACACAAACCGCTGATTAAATCGTTGCATATGTTCCCGATAACATTCCATGGACGGAAACGTACACTTATATATAACACCGCCGCCTACCACATCACTAAGTGAACACAGCTACACGCCTGATAGGTTATTGTTAAAAAATATCACAACTGTGACCTAGTTATATAATGACCAAAAGCAGAGTGTGGATGAGATGCACTGATTCGCTATCAGTCAACGAGCGATAGGAGCAACTTACAACACAGTTTTCTGTCGCAGTGTTATGAAACTACTGTTGCATTCAGACGTCTGGTCTCAGTGACGGCGTGGTATCCATCTGAGTCTGTCACGCTCGAAATCAGCCATCCATACATGTGCACCCTCGCGTTATACCGCGGTGCACAGCAGGGGTGATCAATGCGGTCTCGTGCTAGCGGTATAGGGACGAATGGAGTTCCGACGCTTGCTCTCACACAGGGAAAGGTTCAGACATTCCTACCATATCATGACATCAGGATATCGATCTCTGTTTGTAATAATCGTTTTGTAGTAAGTGGATACGTTCACATAGAATATATACTGAGTAGAATGCGCGATATAATTACTGAACATCTGACTCTTATATAATTGGGAAACATTTGCTTGTTGAGTAAATGGAATTGTTTGTTTGTTGTTTAACGCCGCACTCAGCAATATTCCAGCTATATGGCGCCGGTTGGTAAAAATAAAAATAGAAGCTATATATCAATTTATGTTTGTTTGTTTGTTTGTTTATTGTTTAACGCCGCACTCAACAATATTCCAGCTATATGACGCCGGTTTGTAACCGATTGTGTCCACCCGGTCCCGTTAGTCGCCTCTTACGACAAGCATGGGTTGCTGAAGACCCATCCTCTACCCGGATCTTCACGGGTGGTGGTGTCATCACCTATTCTTATTGATCCATTCACATAATTGTCACTGATATTTTGCCCAATGGAATCTGCTACGTCGGATAACCGCGACGTTTATATTTATATATGTTTAATATTCGTGGGTTCGCTTGTAGTGTGGTCATTAATTAACCCTGCACTCAGACTGACCATGTCAGTCCGGTTTTGTAGATATAGAGGTATTACATAACGTGGGGCGAGGTCAATGACCCGTGTACATGCAGATACGTTAGATCCGGCGACGTGAGGACGTGTTAATGGACATTTATAGCGTTGGGGATTACGGGTCCTGCCCTGAAGGGGCTTATGATTAGAGGGGATACGCCGAATGTTTGCTGTATACAAAGAGGAAAGAATATCAGTGCACTATATTGGAACAATTAGGTGTTTTAGATAAATGAAGTTTAAAATGAAAGTATTGAAATGTTTTTCTCTATAACATAATAACAACTTATGACGGCCTAAACGCAGCATCGTCAGTCAATAAACAGTGAGTCATGCTTAATAGATTAACAACACGGTGAAGTGGAAACAAGTACTAGTCACTCATACAGATCCCAGAACATATATTTAGTAAAACCATCACCCCCTTTCCGTTCTTATACCATTCTAAGCTTTAGCAGTCTAGTCTCATCCCGTTCTCAGGCCTGGGGAATTTATAGAGTTCTATAGTCTGGAAGGTAATTTAAGGTACTGACGTTTACTGCAATATCTGAAAAACTATCGGACCTACTCCAGTCAAAGTTGGTATGAGATTATTAAACAGTCATACATAACTGGATATTACATTTAAAGACAATCGGTGCATGAATAACAAATCTGCCTATTTAGCTATCACGCCAAACGCTAACACCGTATTCGTGATTCCCGTGCACCCTTTCGAGTTGAGTTGATTGGTTGAACTGTGTCATATTGCCCTGTGACGCAGGGGTAGCATTATGCAGATGGCTGTTTCAATGAATGCTCGTTCCACCGTGACGAACAGGTCTGGTTGTTGATGAAATATAGTGATAGCTAAATAGACAGATTCTTTATTCATGCACCGACTGTCTTTAAATGTAATATCCAGTTATGTATGACTGTTTAATGATCTCATACCAACTTTGAATGGAGTAGGTCCAACAGTTTTTCAGATATTGTAGTAAACGTCGGTACCTTAAATTACCTTCAAGACTATAAGTGGTACGTGTTGATTCCCAAACTAAAACAGGCAGATTAACCCAGATATCGAAACGCACAGAACTAGATTGTGATATCAGTAAATAAATCAGTCTTGAGAGTTCCTTAAAACGCAAGGGCTCTCATGTGGGATTATGTTTATTCCAACTTCGACCTAACTTTATTACAGAGACTATATGTCAGTCTGAACCTGAACTCACCGTGCAGGATAAGTAACATAACATCAACTGATGTTCACATACAACTAACCTGATGGTGTGAGGACTGTAGCGAGGCGACGGTGCACATCTGACTGTCTGAGGCTGCGGCTCGAGGGTAAGTGAAGTCGAACAACATTTAGGAGGAACGACAAAAGAAGTGTCGTTGATTGGATGAGCAGACCAGGTGTGGATGCTACTCAACACGCCCGAGTCGTCGGTTGCGTGTACCTTAGGTGTTACCATGGAAACATAATACATCCTTCTTTATGTACTGTTATTTAAAGTCGTTCACAAATCAGGCGTTGTGCAGGTTGTCTTGGTCTGTGGTGTACAGACGGGGGTGTGGGGTGTGCAGGGCGAGGGTTGTTGTTGTTGTTGTTGTTGTTGTTGTTAGTGGTGGTGGTGGTGGTGGTGGTGGTGTGTGTGTGTGTGTGTGTGTTTGTGTGTGAGTTATAATTTTTGAATGGTCTCTCTCTCTCTCTCTCTCCTTTTCGCTCTCTCTCACTCTCGTATTCGTTATGTAAAGGGGGCGGTCGGGTAGCCCAGTGGTTAAAGCGTTCGCTCGTCACGCCGAAGACCCGGGTTCGATTCCCGACATGAGTACGATGTGTGAAACCCATTTCTGGTGTCCCCCGCCGTGATATTGCTGGAATATTGCTAAAAGCGGGGTAAAAAAACATACTCACTCACTCACTCACGTTTTGTAAAGGCAGTTTAATACAATAACTTCCATTACATCAGCAGTGACATAGTATCTCCTGCCTCCCGTTTGTCTTGTGTGTCATGTCAGATGGTGGAGGAGGTAGCTTCACTGGTTTCTCGGCACTAACCCCGGTACTGTGATACTAGCTGAGGTTGTCATCGATCCGGGTTTGAACTGGTCTTCAGCAATCCATACTTGTCGTTAGAGGCGAATAACGGGATCGGGTGGTCAGGCTCGCTGACTTTCTCAATGCATGTCATCGTACCCGAATTGCCTTAGATCGATGCTCATGATATCAGTCATTGGATTGTATGGTCCAGACTCGAATATTTACATAGAGCTGGGATATTGCTGAGTGTGGCTTTAAACAACAAACAAAAATAACGTTATAATGCAAATATTTGTATTTAGAGCATCTGCCCGAAATTGTTACTATATTGCTGATTCTTGTCTGTGTCAGTGGTTATCTTCATTTATCTAAGTGGTCTTAAATACAAACAGTTAAATTGTGTCGAACTTTGATGTATCGAACTTACAGTTGTCACGAAGTAAAAGCGAGGTTCCTGCGTATTCCTTCTTTCTTCATCAGTTTTCGGTTGTGTCTAACCTTGGATAACTCGAAGTATTTACGTAGGGCTCTTCAACTACGACACAAGGGTGTTTGACTATACAATAACCCTATCACCCAATATCTTTGCACAACATTTCCGGGTTCCAACCTCGCGATTCTTGTGTACCTTTCACAAAGTCTCGTTGTCCCCGTCATGGTGTAATGCAATATTTATCAAAGATCGTAATAAAAATAAAAATAATAATGAATAATTTTGCATACATTTATTTGTCGGATGATCCTCATGATGAAAACGAGACATTCAACAGGTTTCTAAAACGAGCCAAGGATGTGGGACATAATCTCCATGTCAGTGTTGATTTTGTTGATGGTTCTGTACTGCTGGGCCGTACAGATATGAGTGTCAAACAAGTGCCAAATCCAATCGGCCAAGACTCGTTTTTAGGGAGACGCTTTCTGAACGACCACTACATCGAGGTTATGTGCAGTGTGCAGCAACCCTGCAGAGTCCTTCGCTTGGATGAGTGGGTGAGTGAGTGAGTATGTTTTACGCCGCTTTTAGCAATATTCCAGCGATATCACGGCGGGGGACACCAGAAATGGGCTTCACACATTGTACCCATGTCGGGAATCGAACCCGGGTCTTCGGCGTGATGAGCGAACGCTTTAACCACTAGCTACCCGACCGCCCCTCGCTTGGATGAAGTCAGCTGGCCGGAAAAGGGAAACAGAAGTCTTTCTGTTTGCTGTTCAGGACCAGTCACTTCCCACTCGAAACCGTCAATGTGTGATTTTGCATCAAAAATGTAAATATGAAATGTAGATTATGCAATGCATTTAATGAGACTACCCAACACATTGTCAGTGGATGCCCAGCTTTGGCACAAACACAGTATCTAAAGCGACATGATGGAGTGGTTCGATCCTTTTATTACCGTCTTCGCAATGCTTGTGGGTTAGCGTAGAGGTCGATCCATGGTATGACCCAGAATATGTAGAGGGCGTCATGGAAAATAATAAATACAAAATTCTTCGGAATAGGCCCGTATACAGCCTCGGACGTATCCAGGCCAACAAACCTGATCTTGTCGTTTTTGATAAACCCAATCCAATCATTTATATTATTGAATTTTCTGTCCCCTTTGACACCAATGTGATTGACAAGATTGAGGAAAAAACATGGCAAATATGCGGATCTCGCTTTCGAAATGCATCACGCTTGCATCCAAAGTACCAAGTTGTCCGACTCCCCATTGTTCTCGGTGCCTTAGGTTTGGTACCTCCCAATCTGTTGACTGACATTGGGAGAGTACCCGGGTTTGCTACCAGGATCTGGGTAATGCAGAAGGCTGCAGTGTTGGGGAGTCTTCACATTCTCCGAAAAGTTCTGTGTGAGTTTGACTAGGCAGCGCTTACTGGGAGAAGTCCCATTCGCTGTCTGGGCTGCGTGTGGAGGGGGCTGATGATGGGCCTAATCAGCCTGCCTGTGCCAGGATCACTCAAACCCTCTTTGCTGCATTTTTTATTTTAACCCGGACATAATAATGTGCTAATGAGCCACATCTACAACCTAAAGCATGCTCAAAACGCTATGTTATTACCCCGGTCAATGGATCGGTGTGCACTCTATATTCATTCTAAGCTCCCTCATTATTAATTAGGAAACTTTATCACATTCGTAAACATACAATGTCATTATGATATATGTTTATTCAACACACATGTAATCATTGTAAACATTCGTTTGTTTCACATTGACTATGATCACACAAATAATAGGAACAAATGATGAAAACAATACTCTGATCGTCGCTGATTTTCTCACTGTGTGTTCTTCTGTGCTGTGCAAGCTCACTTCTCAAATGGATAGAAGGGGTGATCTTTCCATCTGGAACATAACAATGACGACACAGTTGTGAGTGAGTTGGGTTTTACGCCGCTTTTAACAGTATTCCAGTTATATCACGGCGTGTCAGCTTAATGTGTTAGGAAAGCCCGAAGTGATGCAGGTCACAAACGTTTACCACTTCGGTGAAACCCAAGAGCACGGGTATGGTGCTAACAAACCTAGAAACATAATCGGGGCGAACCGGGATTCGAACCCACAATTATAGGTTTCTGGCGTGCCCAAGGGACGCAACTCTGCACAGCGAATCGCGGCGCCTTAGACGACTGGGCCATCCGTGCCCCCTGATAGTACGAAAGCTTATTCTCTATGATCTATCATTAGCCCGTGTGGGCCTATTGGAGTAATGTATACGGCATTCGTATCCTATCTTTGAGAACATGCTACTGGGTCGTACGTCACTGCTATGAGGGGACACGGGTCGCTGAGGACATCCCATTACGGGTCACGTCAGAACGACCTTTCATCCGACCAATCAAAGCGTCGCTTACCAGATCATGAAAGTGACAGTCGGAATGTGTTTTCTAATAAATGCAACCTCGAAAACATTAACACGGGATATTCCGAACGACAGTTACTGCCCGTACGACTGATTCCGTCGCAATTATCGTCTATCTCTCGCTTCCATGGGATAAACATTTGAACGGAAGAGGTTTTGCACGGTACAATCTCAACCATACATTAGACATTCCGGAATGTTCGTTTGTTCAGTTTTCAAAATTTTAATCGAGACCTGTGTCAACATATTTTTCAAGCGTAGTCTCCAATGGAAGTCGCCAGGTTGAAACGAGTGCCTATAGCTCGAGAAAGCTGCTTTCTAATTGGCTGATGTCGAGTTCTTGTTAGTCTAAAACCTGCATCACTTTGGGCTTTCATCTCACTCAGTCACTCACTCACTCACTCACTCAGATACGTGAGTGAAAATCTTACTTTAGGAACTGTTCATGGTTGACTCTGTAGCCTTTGTCGAGAGCTAGCATTGCCTTCATATCATCCGCACTTAGCTCAAAGTCAAATATCTGAAACAAGCAGAAATGCTACTTTAAAACAACATACAAAATACGTTTTACATGCAATTTTAAATATATTGAGTAAAGCGTTTCTCTAGATTCACATTGAACCTGTTTTTCATTCAATATCCGAAACCATTAGTCTGCCCTTTGTTTTCTCTTTAGATCACCACTTTCCCGTCAATCGAACTAACCCCATGTAAGTAATAGTAACAGACACTCACATCCATGTTCTGGGCCAGACGAGATGGATTCGTACTCTTGGGAACGAGAGCAATGCCTCTCTGTATGCCCCACCTGAGGATCACCTGATACACGAGAACACTCGGGGTCAGCAGCAAATCACAAATAACAAAATGTATCAGTTGAAACATCGCAATCAGTAGTGCATCGTAAATAACAGCTTCTATCACGAAAAATAGAAGGATGAGCCGTAAATAGTTGAATACAACATACATGAGGGGAAATGTTGGATTTAGTAGCACGCAGCTGATAACATCTGTCAGCAGTACATATACTGAGGGGCAAAAGATAGTATACCGAGGTTTTTTTATGTAATTGAAAATTGAAAGAACTGTTGTTAACAACAACCACATAATCCATACCATGTTAGAAATATTGTAAAATTGTACCGAATTGTTTTTTTATTATTCAATTCAAAGATATGATGTTAAAGATACCCATCAGCAATAGTGTATTATGTGAATACAGTCAACTACGTTTATAACGATCACGCTTATAACGAACAGGCGGATATAACGAACTGGTTTCAGGTCCCTGCCATTTGCAGTATATATGCTTATAACGAACTACGGTTATAACGAACTAAAATGTGTGGTCACTTTCAGCTCGCTATAACCGGAGTATACTTATTTATTTTGGAATTTTAAATGTTTTTAAATCAAATGATATTGAAAAAGGCCAATTTAGAAGTATTCTTTGAGTGCTGACAAAGAGCCAGTTCAGCTCATTTTGTAAATATAATATCGCTAACTTAAGATATTTTCAACTGAAAATCAAGCATATGATAAAACCAACTGGGAGGTACACATGTAGTTTCTTTTGCCCCTCAGTATAGTTGCATCTACCAGGAGCAGTATAGACTCACATCCAGTCTCTGGAATGAACATATTTTACAGAAAAAAACAGTTGTTAAATTCTAGTAATAAAATGTAATAAAAAGGTGCCATTCATTTTCAGATATCATTTTCAGACACTGATACTGCAGTCATCTAGACTTACCAACTATTATAGACTTGCATGGGCTGTATTGGATTTATTTGTTTCAGCGTCTGTATGCCAGACTAGGAGCAGCAGTACATCGTATATAACAACATCTGTCAGGGGAAACGTTAGTGATCATCGTTGATAAGACAGTTGCAGGCTGTGGTTCATGAATAAATTCGGACGCAGTGAACTGTGCGGCACTCAACCCGTTATGTAACAAACACCAATGTCAGCCTGACCCGTTCAACAATGTGGTCAACTGCAGGGATCACGATTCAGAAGAGTATTCAAACTAGAAGGGGAAGCTGTGCGTGTCAATTACAATGACAAGGGGTATTATCGTTCGACCAAATGTTAATCCTGTGATATAACGGTCAAGTATTATAACAGCCGTCCGACCAGGAAGGAACATGCTTGACCACTGGCCCGTGATGGCAAATAGCCACGTGTCCCGGAGTCTCATGACCGTGGTGCATGCCAGCTCCGTTATACAGGGCTGATTATGGAACACTGTTAGGGACATTCTCGCGATTTCGACCTTTGGAAACGATTTGAATATGTCAAAAGTGCGAGAATGAAAGATTTTGGCCAAATCTCGCGTTCCGGCGATCTTGCATTCTCGCACTTTAGGCATATATAGCTCGTCTCGCGAGAATGTCCCTCGCAGTATTCCATAGCTGATAGATTCACGTCATGAATATTTAAAGGGGCACTCACGGTGTAAAAAGATGAACCAGTCTTGTGTCAGCCGTCGGAGCATTCAGAGCGACTGGAATTTTCAAATGTGTTCTAATATTTCAGCATCTACTTATGCTTTCTTACCATTCTTTGTCACTGATGTAGATCAATGAATCACAGTTCCAGATAAATGTATGTGTATTCAAAATTCGACTAATCTAATGAGACATTCTGACGTAAATACTAGATCAGTATACCTGAGCTGGAGATTTGCCGTATTTCTTCCCGAGTTCGATAATGGTCGGGTGTTCCAGGAACTTTGGTGCATCCTTGGGTATGCTGAAATACAGCAAGGTCAATGGCATCATGACTCCTCAATGTAGAATAGACGAAGGACAACTCATCCTGTCTGTCTGAAATCGGCATTTATTAACTGTTTTGTGGCAGTATATATTGTAAATTTATTAAGGATGATTGTTTTTGGCAGCTAATTGAAGCGCTCGTAGGGGGCACGGGTGGCCCAGTCGTCTGAGGCGCCGCGATTCGCTGTGCAGAGTCGCGTCCCTTGGGCACGCCAGAAACCTGACTGTGGTTTCGAATCCCGGTTCGCCTCGATTATGTTTCTAGGTTTGTCGTGCCCCGTGCTCGTGGGTTTCACCAAAGTGGTACTTCGAGCTTTGCTCCCACATTAAGATGACATGCCGCGATTTAACTGGAATACTGTTAAAAGCGACGTTAAACCCAACTCACCCAATGAAGCGCTCGTAAAACAGATGGTACCCTTTAAGTCATCTTCCCGGGACAAGGGAGTTAACTTACTGTAAAAGTCCAGTTTCCACCCTTGCCGAACTAGGCTGGAATTATGGAGTTATATTTTGGCTGGACTAACGAGTCTATGCTTAGTCCTATCAAATTCGCGTTACGAAATCGACATCCGGTTCGTAAACTTCCGTGCAGATTTCGGTCGATTGCAGGATTTGTAATGCATGTGTACCACGGCGTCAACAGATATTTCGAAAATCTATTCATGTTTCAAGGTGCTCACGTGAGTTGATGCACTTCGCGAAGTAAGACCCGTTTTATTAAAGTATAAATCTTGATTATCGATAAGATCGTCTTGACTAGGCGCCGCCATTTTGTTTGTAGCAAATCAAGTGATATGAGAGGTGGATTCTGATTGGTCGATAGGAGGGTCATAGAAGAGACATAACTCGCAATAGCCACCTGTGGCGGTACGATCGAGGCTGGAAATTCCAGCCTAGTTCGGCAAGGATGGAAACTGGACTTTTACAGTCAGTTAACTCCCTTGGCTCGGGAAGATGTTTTAAGCGTGAAACGAGCGGTACTGGATTCCTTCTCCGACCTGACTTTTGTCTTACCAACTTGCCAAGTGTGACGGGATAAGTAAAAGTGTTTCTGAAGTTCGCCAGTATTTTGTAATACTGCCATATGAGAACATAACGCAACTTACTACACCTGTCCCGGTGCCCCGAACGGACCATAGCCAGTCGTTGAGATGCCGTTCTTCAGGGAGAACTGCACAAGTTCGTCCTGGGCAAGATACGGAGTTATCTCCACCTGAAACCAAACATTTGTCAACACTACGTCAAGTCTTTGATTAGAGTGATTGAGTCGGGTTTTAACGCCGATTTGAACATCATTCTAGTTTTATCACGGTGTATCAGCTTCATGTGGGACGAAAGCCCTAAGTGATGCAGGTATTAGACGTTTACCACTTTGGTGAAACCCACAAGCACGGGTATGGTGCTGACAAACCTAGAAATATAATAACAATCTGTGGTGTCATATTCATAATATTTACCTGGTTATTCGCAGGCTTGTACTTGAGGCCGTCCATTTTAAGAATCCTTTCCAGCTGCTGTTGGTTGAAGTTGGAGACGCCGATAGACTTGACGAGGCCCTTGTCCACCAGCTTCTCCATGGCCTGGAGTGGAGGAGAGTGATGTTAGCCAGTTGATGCAAGGGATTCTTTGAAAATATCTCCACAATACTAATGCAAACATGGGATCGTATTGTTAGCCATACACAACAAGTTAACAGGTTAAAAAAAAAGTAAATAAAGAAAAAGAAAAAAAGTTATTTTGGTTGGTAAGAGACGTAAGGTAAGGCATTTATCTAGGATTACAAACTAAGTGCTCTTGAACACACAATGTCATTTAGAAAGTGGTCAAATGTAACACATGTTATATTTGGGATAACACTTTCTTAGTAAAGAACAGATTCTCGTACTTCTTGGGTTTGAGTCCCGTCCGCGATTCTTAGTTCATGACCATATGCCGCTGAATCTATGAATGTACTTTGAACATTTTATGGAAGGGTAATATGTTTTAGTAAGTATGTCGTAAGTTTTGTCGTAATTTAAACTGTTACGACGGGTCTTGTCATGTAGGATTTGATCCCTGTCTTTACATTGGGAAAAAGCGCTTTTAGTAATGACTTTGATACAGTCTTCTTGTTTTCTTATTGCTGGTGGTGGGGTATCCTTGTGGTTAATGCGTTCTCTCGTCACGAAGGCCCGTGTTCGATTCCCAACATGTACAATGTATTTTTCAGTTCCCCCGTATGATATAGCATTAATATTGCTGAAACACGGCGGAAAACCATACTCACTCACTTCATTTGCATTCTTCCATGTAGAAACATGGCAGCAGCAATGATATTCATGTTAAGGGCCGTGCTTCTTCTTCTGATAGATGTAATGTGTTGTGGCCCCAAACCGTGTTTGTCTTCTCGCCCGCCAATAATACGTGCTCAAGTGCCTTAAATAACGGTAATGTAAAAACCCTAATTATCTGCGAAACATCTTCAAGTACACTTACAATGTGCACTGTACACAGGTGAGATTTGAGAGTAGCATCCTTTTTATACATGATAACAAAAACCTCGACGAAGCCCATTTCGAGGATTCTTTCTTTTGTACTTTTAATGATATTATTTTGCAATATGTTTGGCTCAGGGCGTAACTTTGCAAGAGACGGAATATTTTTGAAATGATTTCCACATTTCACTCTTCCTCGTGTTTCCGCGCGTATCCGCTTACCAAGTTTGTAATTATCGCCTAACGGTTTAGTTTTTTCCCCCATAGTAGTGAGGTGAGGTGAAATTGGGTTTAACGTCGCGTCCAAGATTATTGCACTTATATAGCGACGTGCATGTACGTGTGTGTGTGTGTGTGTGGCTGCTTGTACTAGTCCGGACTGATGCCGATTTATAGTGCTAGCTCACTGAGATACCATGCCGCAGTTTAACATGGATACCCCACTCAGACACAGTATACTGACTCCGGGCCGACCAGTCCTTGTTTTAGCCCCTTAATGTCGAGCGCCAGACAGGGTAACAACAAGTACCATCTTTTAACGTCTTTTGGTATGACGCGGCCGGGGATCGAACCCCGGACCTTCCGCTCTCCGGGCGGACGCTCTACCACAAGACCACGGAGGCGGCCCATAGTAGTTGGGTGCTACTGTACCTACCCTCCACGTGTCCAAGTAGTCCGTCAGGGTCGACTGGGTACGCTCCTTGTCCTGGGGAAACAATCATATGTAGACACAGTTGGTTGGTTGGGTTGGTTGGTTTGTTGTTTAACGCTGCACTCAGCAATATTCCAGCTATATGACGGCGGTCTGTAAATAATCGAGTCTGGACCAGACAATCCAGTGATTAATATCATGAGCATCGATCCACGTAATTGGAATCGTTGACATGCATCAACCAAGTCAGCGAGCCTGACCACCCGATCCCGTTAGTCGCCTTTTACGACAAGCATAGTCACCTTTTACGGCAAGCATGGGTTGCTGAAGACCTATTCTACCCCGGATCTTCACGGGCCTGTTGACACAGACACGTCCAGATGATGCGGTTTAAAGAAAAGACGAATCCCGTTACGACAATATATATATCAACCAAGTATATCATTATATCTATTCTTTACAGCATTTCCCAATGTAAATGTTTTTCTCCAATTTTAAAAGAGGTTAATGATGCTGATGACGCGTTCTAGGCTACAGCACAAAAGGTATTTTACGGGCGCTTCATTCGCCACGTCCCTCGCGCATTAACATATTACTTCTTTGAGAGGCATTTAGAAGTTGGAGTCTGTTTGTTGTTTAACGCCGCACTCAGTAATATTCCAGCTATATGACGGCTGTCTGTAAATCATCGAGTCTTGACCACCCAATCCAGTCATTGACATTATGAGCATCGAGCCACGTAATTGGGATACGATGACATGTATCAACCAAGTCAGCGAGCCTGACCACCCGATCCCGTTAGTACCCTCTTACGACAAGCATAGTCGCCTTTTACAGCAAGCAGGGTTTGCTGAACACCTATTCTACCTCGGATCTTCACGGGTTAGAAGTTGGAGTTCTAAGTAAGGATAAGATATATGTATGGACAACTTCTTTCATACAATTAAGAGCGACGTTTCGGTGTAGGTTCTAACATCGGTATCAATCAAGTGAGACACTTGCTTCATGATGGCGTCAGAACCTACACCAAAATGTCGCTCCTAATTGTAATAAAGAAATTGTTCATCCATATATCTTATCCTTACTTAATTAACATGTCAGACCATGTCACCCCGTATTTCTTTTAATGAGAAGTGTTCAAAACTTCGTATGGATGTAAAACAATACTCTTTCGTGCAAGGAGATCCCAGTCTCAGTGCTCTTGAAAACATCAATGTTCAATCACCAAAAAGTGATATATAGATGCATATAGAGACACTATTCCACAACTTAAAAAAACCGTATTACACTGCCCGGCAAAACTAAATATACACCATTGTTTGATGGTGACTATAAAGAAAATGTAATGGTTATCCGATGGTGATGTATTTGATGCGGGTATAGATGTGTTTTGGACCTTATGTTTGCAGTGTTTGCAATTTTGTTTGTTAAAATCCAATTTTCCAGTGTCACTTTCTTTTCACCGGCAGTTTACATTTAATAAAAAATACCGCCCCATAATATAACACTGATATATGTAAGGTGAAATGGGGTTTAACGTCGCGTCCAAGATTATTGCACTTATAATGCACTTGCATGCACGTGTGTGTGTGTGTGCGTGTGTGGCTGCTTGTACTAGTCCGGACTGATGCCGATTTATAGTGCTAGCACACTGAGATACCATTCCGCACTTTAACATGAATACCACACTCAGACACAGTATACTGACTCCGAGCCGACCAGTCCTTGTTTTAGCCCCTTAATGCCGAGCGCCAGACAGGGTAACAACAAGTACTATCTTTTGACGTCTTTTGGTATGACGTGGCTGGGGATCGAACCCCGGATCTTCCGCTCTCCGGGCGGACGCTCTACCATTAGACCACGGAGGCGGTCTACTGAGATATGTATGATGACGTCATGTGATCTTTAGTGCAAAGTGGTCTGTTTAGTAAACAAAGTAATAGAGGATATTTCATGCGTCGAGTGAAATTTCATGTTTATCTCATCGAGTGACGGGGAAAAGGAGATATTTTCACGAGTGGAGTAGCCACGGGTGAAAATATCTCCGTTTCCCCCCTCACAAGATGAGAGAAACATTATATTTCTGGAGACACATGGCATATCCTATTTATTATATACTTTTTGTGTAGTTGTCTACCGGGCAATTAAATTATTTCAGTACAAATGTAAAACCTTGCAACGTAAATTCTCCCTACCTAACACACAGGGACGGGTCACCGACCCATGTATTTGCGACTTTAAAGTAGTTTCGAGTTTGCAAATTCATAAAAAATATAAACAAAAGTAACAAAATATATTTAGGGTCGCGAAAATTCTGTATCATACATATAGATATGATTATATACAAAATCAACTGTAACAAAAAGTATTCTTGAAAACTTCGAGACCGCCGTTGGAAGCGAAAGAATACACGCTGGTCAAGTAACAAAAATGGCGCTTTGCGAAACGAACGGTCTCGATTGAAGATAAATTTACAGTTTATAACGGAACATTTTCAAGAAAATAACAAACGCCATGAAGCGATATTAGCTCCAAAAATGACCATCTTTCATTATTTTGCCTTGTCAATGTGGAACTAACGTAAAAAGGAAGTCAACAGTTTGTGAACGGGCCAGACACTTACGATAAAGGGAGACAATTCGAAGGGAGGTCACTCTTGTATGATGATAGTTCCGTCAAAGTGTTATGTTCAATGCAGTGAAATATCAAGTGTTATGTTCACTGCAATGAAAATATCACTTTTCTCCACTACGGAAAACGCACTTAGGTATATAATAAAATCATGTACTGCTGATATAGTTGAGTGCAGCGTTAAACAACAAACAGACTGACTATTCTTTCCTCTCCCTTCTATCACTCTGTTACGCTAGTAGTTCAACGGGAACACCAACACAATGCCCCTAACTAGTCTAAACCACGTCGGTTTTGTAAGCGCCATCACACAAATACATAAAAATGTCTCCGAATTTATAATGAAATAAAACCAATAATTTCATGTCAGACATGGCTGCGTCACTCCTGATTGTTAGAACTCGGGTGGTTAAACAAGGCAGAGAAGTTTTGACTTACAGCGTAGGCCACAGGGAAGTGTATCAGATACAGATCTATGTAATTCATGCCCAGGGCCTCCAGTGACTCTCGACACGCTTGCTCCACCTGCTCTGGTTCATGACGGTGGCCCCAAATCTGCAACGATAACACGTATGCATGGTTATATTCTTTGACGCTGTAGTGCAACGGTATTGTGGTTATGGAACGGTGTGTTATAGACTTTGTATGGAGAGACAAAATAGAACTAGACAGTGGACAGTTTCCCGTTCTTTTGCAGTCTATGAACACTTTAAGGGATTGATATGTGTAACGTTCCTGAGTAGAGGTCTCGAATCTTTAAGGATACCCCTGTGAAACGCAACTGGGTAAATCTTGGATCGTACACCTGTGTATTGGTGCAAACTACCAAAGACGTCCAGAATGGCGTTGCCACAGTGGTCTGTCAAACCCGTGCTCACTCGCAAGGTTTTCAAACCCGGCTTCGTATAATTAATACGCCCGGGGTAGGCAACTTGAATAGTATACTCACTACGTAGAACTTTACATCTACGAATAAATGGAGCCATAAAGTGAAACCTCGTTAGTCCGGACCCCGTTATTCCGGAAACCACGGTGTGAACGATGGAAATATAGACCCAAAGAAATGTCCCTGTACACTCATGAATACTTGAATACGGAATTTTGAAAATCCGAACAATGTCCCCGGTACAGCACCGTCCGCATTAACGAGGTTTCACAGTTTCTACAATGTGTTATGTGGCGAGGTCTTTAAATCAGCTCTGTCTGCAAGACAAACGTGGCTTTATTGGAAACAGCACAATCTCACTACCTTTGTCACAATGAAAAGCTCTTCTCGCTTTACTTTTCCTTCTTTCATCAGTTCTTTAATGGCGACTCCGATTTCCGGTTCCGTGCTATAGATCCACGCCGTGTCAATATGGCGGTATCCAATCTGAATTGCGGCCTTCACGGCGTCACCAACCTCGTTTGGCTGTTGGGGAAAATGGACTGATAAACCACATGCATGTTACATGTTGGAGGCTGAACAGAATTGCGCCCCTTTGTTGGTCCAGGATCTGTTGATTCGAATTTCAGATTGGCCCCTATTATGATATTCGGTCTGTCAGCACCACAACCGAGTTCAAGGGGTTTACCGGAATGTTAAATGAGTGCGACCGTCATCGCTTGAAAAAAAATAAAGCTGACATGCCGTGACAACTAAAATACCACTCAGAGCACCAAGTCACACACGAACATAAATCAATGTTGCACTGACTAATCACTGAAGATTACAGTGCATCTACCAGGAGACCTAGGTGAATATCTATCCGGACACCTACAATGAACATCTACCGGGATGACTATAGCCAACATCTACCCGGAGATCTACAGTCAACATCTACAGTCAACGTCTACCGTCAACATCTACCCGGAGGTCTGCAGTCAACATCTACTCGGATCTCTACAGTCACCATCTACCCGACGGTCTGCAGTCAACATCTACCCGGAGGTCTGCAGTCAACATCTAGCAGGAGGCATACAGTCAACATCTACCCGGAGGTCTAAGTCAACATCTACCCGGAGGTCTGCAGTCAACATCTACCGGGAGGTCTGCAGTCAACATCTACCCGGAGGTCTGCAGTCAACATCTATCAGGAGGCATACAGTCAATACTACCCGGAGGTCAAAGTCAACATCTACCGGGAGGTCTACAGTCAACATCCTCCCTGAGGTTTTCAATCAACATGTACCCGGAGGCATACAGTCAACATCTACCCGGCGGTCTGCAGTCAACATCTACCAGGAGGTCTACATGTACCGGGATGCCTTCAGTCAACGTCAGCGTGTGAGGTCAGGTCTTCCACCATAATTAACTTCATACTAACTGACGCTTTTGAAATTTATCTACACGTGATTCTTTTGAGCAAGTAATATTTGCAAAGAAAATGTACAACTACCAACCCGGAAACTGTTGTAGGTTCCTAGGCCAAGCATTGGCATGTCGTAACCGCTGCTCAGACGTACGGAAGGTACTTTGTCCGCCATCTTGAAACGACTCTCTCAGCACCTTGACAAGAAATCACAAAAGACATTGTAACTAAATTATTTAATGAAAAATAGAACATGTCAGCAATATATCTATTGATGCATGCAGATGTGTAAAGCAATGTAAAGCAGTAAATTGGATTGTGAGCCATCCACACAAAACTCACCGGCTGGGCGGTGCAGAAGCAATGTGTAGTGAGCGAGTGTTAGCCCAGCAGCGTCCACCCGACAAGGTCAGCCGACAAGGTCACCTCGGCAACACCGTCGGGACAAATATCACCACGGTATTATGGAATGTCGTCACAGTGACTTGCATTTCTCTTATCTCACAGCCGTAACATGCGTATCTTGAGGGGAGGTAAGAACATAACAGGAAGGTGGGGGTGGCGGTGAGCGTGTGGGGGATGGGTGATGAATGGAAGGGGAGTGGGGAGCTCCACTTATCCCCACGTGCCGCGCTTATGATCCAAGGTCGAATGAGAGTCATCAAGGTGATATACATCTTGCGTCACACTTGCTGCAATCCTATCTGTGAGTTTGACAAACTGTTGATCTCAAATGTTGGGAACATCTGTACGTTGGCCCATAAGGGACTTGGAGTCTGTTTTTCAATATTTTGATATTTCACTTACTGTTATCGTAACCTTTCGCAAATTAACACGATTTGTCATACAACTGTGTGATAAATCATGTATAAAGAAGATATTGAATCGCTGAAAAGTGAAGCGAAAATGTCAAAAACTAAAATGAAAATGTCAAAAACAAAAGCGAAAATGTCAAAAACTAAAATGAAAATACAGAAAACTATTTCAACTATTTTAGTTTTTGACCTTTTCGTTCTTGTTTTTGACATTTTCATTTTAGTTTTTGACCTTTTCGTTTTTGTTTTTGACATTTTCATTTTAGTTTTTGACATTTTCGCTTAACATTTCAGCGATTCAATAGCTACTTGAAAGTGCATTTTCCATGTTTTCGGTTGTTTTTATACATGATTTATCACATATTTGTATGACAAATTGTGTTAATTTGCAAAAGGTTATGATATAAGTAAGTGAAATACCAAAATATTGAAAAACAGACTCCATGTCCCTTATGGGCCACCGTACATCTGGGCGAACATTTTAGGATTTTCAAACGCGATTTTGAGGTGTGAATGGTGCAGAATGGCGTGGACAAAAGTGACGAGGAAACATTCAACAACGACAACAACAACAACAACAACAACAACAACAACAGCAAATATTTGTCGCGTGAACAGTTATGTAACTATAGTGTTGCCCGAGTGAAGCCGACTTGTGATAGGTACAATGTGTATTGACGGTATAACCAACACCATGCGATGTAGGTCGCTGATGTTTTCATGCATCGATAGGGCGTCCACGTGATCGCATCATCCTATATAGCTGTCTTACCGTTCTTCACTGGATGTGTGTTTGTCACTTTACATACGAAAACACATCAGTCCCCCTGACGCGTTCGGAACAGTCACTTACCTGGCGCAATCCCACAACACACAGACGGGTATTTATCAGGCACTCACCCACCCGTTGACAGGCCGAGGATTGTTATCTTTACTTGTGTCAACACTACATGCACACACATGCAGGAGTTGAGAAATCTGAACGCTTGCTGTTGATAAAATATTTTCCGTATCTCCGAGATCCCTTTCTGACATTCAGGATGACACATCGATTTCTCAGTAATATTAGGTGAGGTGAAGGCGGAAAAGACTTATGCCAAGTCAAGTTTAATGTTCACCTGAATAAACGCGGAAACGTTTCGTACAAGTCAAAATAGAAAATTGCGTCCGCCGTCATTGTTTTCACTATTCGAGAAATGCTTCCGAAACAGGTGTTACCATTGCTGTCACATTTCACCCAAAAGGCCTAACGACACTAAAACTCTTTGGCAAAATAATTACGGCTACCCTAATTTACAAAAACGAAGGGGGGCTCGGGTGGTCCAGTCGTCTAAAGCGCCGCGATTAGCTGTGCAGAGTTGCGTCCCTTGGGCACGCCAGAAACCTATTATTGTGGGTTCGAATCCCGTTTCTCCCCGATTATGTTTCTAGGTTTGTCAGCACCATACCCGTCCTCGTGGGTTTCACCGAAGAGCTAAACGTCTGAGACCTGCTTTAGGCTTTCCTCCCACATTAAGCTGACACGCCGTGACATAACTGTAATACTGTTAAAAGCGGCGTTAAACCCAACTCACTCACTCACTTACTCACGATAAAAACAAAGCAAAACGTTGAGGGTCTAATTATACTTGTTAATATTTCGACTACCACCTCAAAGGTTGGCGAACAAAATCCGAAAACCAACCAAGCAACCTTTGCGGAAGTAATTACCACCATCATCCAGCTTGTGTATGCAGACGCTCGTTGTTTGGATAGTCAATTTTCCTCATTATTTTTCAGTGGTGACGACAGTTTCTTTGTGGTCAGGTAACGTCTATCAGTAGAAGCATTCATAAAATATCCTCCATTGTGAATCGCTGGACTTAGGGACGCAAATGCCACATGGAACCAGTGTGGAAGAGTGGGATATTTGGTGTGGCGCGCTTTGAGGATTACTGTTGTCACACTCCGGTGATTAGTGTCACTGTGAAAGGTCAACCGGAAATGACGTATGTTTTCAGGTGAAGATCATTGCCTGCAACGAAAGGACGGACCCAGAGATGAGGCATTGGTTTAATGGACAAACAAGATATTCTTGTAAATATCTGTTAGAATTCTTTCGGAACCAGGTGTAAATATTTTACATTTCACCGTGAAGTTATTAACAATATTCAAGCGTATAGTTCGCTTCAAAACCAGGAGGGATAATGTAGAAGACTTGGAGGGGAGGGGTGTGTTGCACTCAGAATAATGAAACAATCGGGAAACTACTAACTTTTGTTAGCCGTTGCCTACATCCTCATCTGTTCATGCACACCCTGCACCCTGTCTGTTCATGCACACCCTGCACCCCGTCTGTTTATGTACACCCTGCACCCCGTCTGTTTATTTACACCCTGCACCCCATCTGTTTATGTACACCCTGCACTCCGTCTGTTTATGTACACCCTGCACCCCGTCTGTTTATGTACACCCAGCACCCCGTCTGTTTATTTACACCCTGCACCCCGTCTGTTTATTTACACCCTGCACCCCATCTGTTTATGTACACCCTACACTCCGTCTGTTTATGTACACCCTGCACCCCGTCTGTTTATGTACACCCTGCACCCCGTCGGTTTATGTACACCCTTCACCCCGTCTGTTTATGTACACCCAGCACCCCGTCTGTTTATTTACACCCTGCACCCCATCTGTTTATGTACACCCTGCACTCCGTCTGTTTATATACACCCTGCACCCCGTCTGTTTATATACACCCTGCACCCCGTCTGTTTATATACACCCTGCACCCCGTCTGTTTATATACACCCTGCACCCCGTCTGTTTATGCACACCCTGCACCCCGTCTGTTTATGTACACACCTGCATCCCCGTTTTCTTTTGTACGGATATAAAAAGATGCAACTTTAAATGATAACAACTTCAGGTTTATTGCATGTAGCGACGTTTCAATGTAGAGACTTTCACCGTCATCCAGCGGGACTGACTACAACCAAGTGATGAGAGGTATATATGCATCAGATTAACATGACACCATTTGTAATAGATAACAAGTAGCAAACAGATAATTGGATGAAGCCAGATCTACTATGAGAATAACAAATAGCACGCAGGTAATGAAGCCAGATAAACTTGGATCAACGCGTGGTACATGGACGTTCCGTTGGACAGTTCACAACGAAGAGCATAACGGTAGCTGGACGTTTCGGGTGCCTCCACCGTGTTGGGAATGGATGTCTGTCTAATTTTGTAGACTGTAATTTGGTCACTACAGTTGGTCTAGAATCAATCGTATTGACAACGATCTCTAAGGTAATAATGGACGAACCATGCTGACTTATAAGATTGAACCAAACAACTGGGTCAAGACCAATAGGAAATGGAACGCACTGTGACTCTAAATATATTCTTCAACCTACACACACGAAAGGTCAACTCAGGTTGTGATTATAGTGGATATTATGTTATTGATATAGGCAACATTAACGTTGTTAAAATGCTGTTACAATGGCTCAAGGTCTCCTTTGCTTCCGAACGTCGCTCTGGGGAGATTGCTCCATCATACTCGAACGATTCTTCAACCGTACATTGCAATGTGAAGATCGGTCTGATCTGATTGAATAATCATCATTCATCAAATCAAAACGGTAAAATCATGAAAAATACAAGACGTAATGCCCATTTCATTGGAGCGATTGCTGAATATTCCAGTGGCATTCAAATATTCCATTTCTGATGACAGTGCAATATGCCTTTTACAGTACTGGGATGAAAATAACTCTTGTTTACCATTTACTTTTTTCCCAATGTGTTTTATTCAGTTTCAGGGGCGGCCGGGTAGCCTTGTGGTTAAAGCGTTCGCTCGTCACGCCGAAGTCCCGGGTTCGATTCCCGACATGGGTACTATGTGTGAAGCCCATTTCTGGTGTCCCCCGCTTATTGCTAAAAGCGGCGTAAAACCCGACTCACTCACATTACTGAGGCCTTGACTGTTGTAACCCTGATCAAACAACTTGTTTTTTATGTCTGGTGTCCCCCGCCTTGATATTGCTGGAATATTGGTAAAAGCGGCGTAAAACCAGACTCACTCACTCATTATTCAGTTCAGTTGGTACAATCATAATCATACAGATAGTATGTTCACACTATATATGTCCAGCACCAAACTCTGACATTTGTCGAATGTGATAACAGTGGCATAGTACCAAGGGGGACCCGATTTTTTATACAGTAAACTACGTTTATAACGAACACGCTTATAACGAACTGACCGATATAACGAACTTATTTTTAGTCCCGGCCATTTGAAGTATATATGCTGTATATATGCTTATAACGAACTACGGTTATTACGAACTAGAATTAGTGGTCCCTTTGAGTTCGTTATAACCGTAGCTTACTGTAGTGGATTTCTTAAATATGAAGATATAATTATGAAGGGTTATGTACGGGGATTTAATATATCTGTAAGGTTTTCCATTTTCACGTTGAAGCGATGTATCGTATTGTTTATTTCTTAAATGAAAATATTATTTGTCATATCAGTCAACAAGAAACATCAAGTTTTTAAACACGCACCTGACAGCGTGCTTGCATTGTTGTAGGTCTTAAATATGTGTAACGTCACACAAATTCACGTTGTGTCGTTAAGATACGTAATATGTAACCCACAAGTTTCATCACTATTAGCATTT